TTTTATGATATTTAATGCATTACAATGGCTATTCCAAAGACTTCGTAAATCAACAACGACTTTTGTTTTCAAGCCACTGCACGTTTTGATTTCCTACTACTACTTTCCTACTGCTATTTCAATTAATTATCTACACATACATACTAAATACATGACTGTCCAATAAGAAAGAGCCTCTTAGAATATATTTCTTTATTTACGATATCACAAATATATCCATCAATATGCCATCAATAATTTTTCTATTCTCTTTTCAGTAGATTTCAAAAGAGAAATATCCTTTATTGTTCTTTCGGTAAATACGGATGTCTGAAATGGAAATTATATTTTATTATTTATTCGCTGAAAAGTGAGAAAAACTGGATTAGGAGAATCTGTAATTCAAATTAGATGGTTCATTGAGTTTTCAATACAGTATATACGGACTACTTCCGAAACTTTTCGAACAAAAACACTAATCAAGATGATGAATATACTACCGATGAGAGTAGACGTGAATCATTTATTACCAGTTCACCTTTCTGCATAATTTATCATTATTGACGGATAGGTATTTGAATCACATCGATAGTAAATGAATGGAATTTACATGTAAAAATTGAATTTTCATTTAAAATGTCAGATACTATTGATGTTACATTCTAAATGAATTTTCCTTCAACTTATTGAAAGTGTCAAGATGACGGATGGAAATCGATAATTATTCAGTTCTGATCAGTTACATACATGCTATGGTTTGTATATGTGGAAACCTGTTATCGGCTTAGGCATTTTCAGGGACGGGTTAGTATTACAATATTACAGTATTTGTTTTATTTGACTGCACAATATTTCTTTCATTTGAAGTCAATAAATCTCGATTTATTGATAGGTTGTTGTTGAACATTTTTTTCAATAGTGGTTTTACGAAAACTTCTATATCCAAGTTAGTTAGTGGGGCGTCTTTCTGCCTCCGGGTTTCTTCTTGCATGAATTGTGGTTCAAGTTTCTTCTTCTTCCTTGTTTGTATGATTTTATGTAGTGGTCTTGTGTCTGCATACAATAGCAGTGATCGGTCGACATCCGAGGGATGATATGGAATCGTGTCCAGGTACAATGCTGAGAAAAAGGGCAGCTTATTCAAATTTATTCTGGTGATCAGATATCATTCTCTTGATGGAAAGTATGCTGTGGATTTGTCTCGAAGTGGTGGTGCAATAGATTGTGACTTTATGGTTTACAATTGACCTCATGAACATTTTATGAGTGTGTGAAACGGTCTAACTAGAACATCTTCTGATCTTGTTCCTAATGCTTTCGGAAGATTAACTTTTTCTGGACTTTTTTCTGGACTTTGTATAGAGTTTTATGAATATAGGTCTCTGAGGGTATCCGTATAAGTAACTCCCAAGTGTATAACTGAAATTTAAAGCGATGAGAGACTGAGATTCAAGTTGTTAATAGAAACTCTTGGGTTGTGGTGTTTAGATATCTGAGTAGAATGGTTTGAGTTATTGTTGGGTTGAGTTTGATGCGCCACTTGCTGCACCAATGTGCAAAGAAGAAAATAATATTTTAGGTTATAGTTTGTACGATGAGTTGGTGTTATGAAGGATTTCAGTATAGTGAGAGTGTCGTGATCGTATATGGACAAAAAAGACGGGGACAGGACCCAGTCCTGAGGGACTTCGGCTGTATTTGTTAAGGAAGAGGGAAGGAAGTTACATCCTGATAAAATAGCGTGGAAGTTTAATGGATATCAGTTCACTGATTAGGCCTGTATGCCGAAACTTACCGAAGGCTTTTTGAATATCTAGTAGAATGGCGATCCTACTGTAGGAGGAGTTTATATTTTGGGTGATATGAATGTGAAATTTAACGAGGATATTTTGGGACTTGAGAATCATGATGGTGTTAGCCTGTTTCCTGGTCTTCAGAAAGTAAGCACGTTTGAAGTAGGGAATGAGGACATTCCTCAGAATATCAAAGATATGCCGTTTGATATGTCAGATACTATTGGTATTACATTATGAATGTATAATGCCGAGGAGATTTATCAGATTCGTTGGAATTTGAACCGGGGGCAGTATGTCTACCAGAGTGGATATCACGAAGGATACCTGCATTGGGGCTTCAGAAATACAGTTGGGGTTGAGGATGATGTAGCCAGTATTGTTACTTGAGTGCATGTATCAAGTTATGGTGTGTTGTCAAAGTGATTATCAGTCTGAAGTTTCAGTGTGTTTTCTGAATCGTCACGAAACACCTCTGCTTTTACTGTTGTATAGAAATTATGTTACCGTCGACCATCAGATAGCTATCAGATTTTGTTTTTGTCTTGTAATAACTTCAAGTTTGTTACAGAAAGCCATTTCGTCACTATATTCGAGAAGATTTGCAGGGTCTCCTTCCTCCACCTCTTCTGTATGATTTGGTTTATGTCGAGACGTATATTTTCGTTTTGTCTTTTACATTCTGTTTTTGGTACCTGGTTCCTAGTGCGTATTCAGTTTCTGGAAAATTTTCTATTGTTGCGAATGAGTATTATCAATTGCAGTATTAATGGTGTTTTGTCATGTAGTCTAGTGGTGATCAGAGTAGCTTCTTTTATAGGTAAGTATTTGTATTAAATCAATTTGGTTGTTGATTTTTTTTTCAGTATTTGGAACGGACAAATTAGTAATGAAAAGGTTATGGTTATTGTAGTTCTGAAAAAATCCACATCAAAGTATTTATGGTTTTTTTAGGAAATAGTGTAGGAAATGTTGAAAATTTAGAGATCAGCTTCCAGGAGTATGGGAAGGTGATACCACTCCACTGTGTCTCCGTCATCGATCATCCCTATGAACACAGAATGTGGTCAATGATAGACTTCCTGATTGAGGTCAGAAAGACGGTATCCGTTTATATTGTTGCTGAATTGTGTATGTCTAGCGGTGAAGTCATTTATTAAATATGCTTGGGGAGTGCAGAAGTGTATTCTGAAATTTTTCAAAGAACAGTAGCTGAACAATTGAAAGAGTCTACTCTTTCAGTTGCATTGCCAATTGCATATACAGGAAATTTTCTGTGAAGATTCCTGCACTGACGCCTTTCGGATATAATCCAACGCCCTTCATGGTATTAGCCAGGGGAGTAGGTATTTTCTGATAGGCGTCAGTCCATTAAAACTACTGTGTAGGTATATTCCAGACTGGCTTGAACGTTTAAAGTTCATTTCTTTAGATTTGTTTACTGCCAGTCTTCAAGCATAGCCCACTGACTAATGACAAAGTTTTCCTTCCTTATTCTGAGAATTCGGGCAAGTTACGGATATGCAGTTGGTTAGTACCTCGTCCACTAGATGGAGGGACATTTTGCTGTTCACTCCAACTTAGGAAGAGGAATGAAATACTCTGAAAGCATATGGAATATCATATCATTGACTTTAGGTCGATGATGACCACTATCTTGCACTGATGAGTGGCTAATGAGCCCGAAACCGGTCTGCAAGTGTGCCCGTTCCAAAATTGAAGGTCGATTCTTTCAGTTGTATTACCAATTGCATTCGCAGAAAATTTTCTATGAAGATTCCTGCACTGACGCCTGTCAGATATAATCCAACGCCCTTCGTGGTATTAGCCAGGGGAGTAGTTGTTTTCTGATAGGCGTCAGTCCATTCAACCTACTGTGTAGGTATATTCGAGACTGGCTTGAACGTTGGAAGTTCATTTCTTTAGATATGTTTACTGCTAGTCTTCAAGCATAGCCCACTGACTAATAAGAAAGTTATTATATCCGGTTCGGAGAAAACCTATGCCTGGGTTTTTGTGGCATTGAATTTTACCTGGTTACTTTCACTTAATTTGAAATCATCTCTTGATCCTCATTAAGATATGCAACCTCCTGGTGCCGGTGGAGATGTACCTCTGTAGCCAATGTCCTGGAATCCAAATAGAATGACGAGACAAGTGTGCTGACGTCAGGAAAACAATATATTGGGTTCTTGGTTTTTTGCAATGAGTCGTTGATATATAATAAATAGAGTTTTGAAAAAAATATGGATCCCTGGGAAACACCGGTGTTGATGGAGAAAGTATTTGAGAGATATCCATCGACGGCCACTTGCAGGGAACTTTCTTTCAGGAAGCTGGAGAGCCATGCATAAAAATGATCCGACAAGCAATAGCATCGAAGTTTTGCCAGCAAACCCTAATGCCACACATGGTCAAAGGCCGTAGAAATATCAAGCGCAACAGCTCTTGATTTTCCATGTTTCCTTCTCGATTGCGGTATTCCAAATATGGGTGACATACGATAAAACAAAAGGTCGCCTGTTGATATTTGTTTCCGAAAGCTATATTGTTGATCGCTCAATATGTTGAAGCCTTCCAAATATCTGAGGATATGATAGTTTACGACTTTCTCCTAGTTAGTACACTTGGAGATGATTATACAAAGCACGTTATAGTGGCATCTACTAGGAATTCGATAATTTCGTCCTCAGTGATGTCAAGGTTGATACTACTTACGAATAACAAGCTGATGGTGGATCAAAATAGGGTTGATATCTCCATTTTGCACATGGGTTGTCATGCCAGAGTGAGTGGCTTTTCTATTGGTTGGTAGCTTGTGTTACATTCCATTGCGTCCCCTGGGTCAACTACTGGATTCTACTTCGACGATTCTGTTTTGAAATAAACAGGGTTTCTCCTCGTACTTGAGCTTCAATCTGCTAAACAATGGGCACAATCACGTAACTTTCGCTTCACTTCTATTGAAATTATTATTTGTTGAGATATCAACCAGTCATCACCACCTTAACGCTTGTCATCAAAAACTATTTCGATCATTTTATTTAAGAGAATAGCAAAAGCAATATACAAATTCTATTGAGTTTCCGTATCTTGAAATCTAATCTATATATATTTGGTTTTCGAGAAAAAACATGAATAAAATGAAATTGAGAATTGTTTCAGGGAGAAATTTTGCATAGACCACAACTATACTGAAAAAAAAAGGAAATTCAGTGAAATCACAAAGATGTTTCAATAATTTTTAATTTTTACAATTATTATAGTGCCATTCCGATATACCTCTGCCTAAAATTCCATTCACATCACATGTTGTGAATCTCTCGTAGAGTTTAGCATCGCTATCGTTTCCCTTGAAATGTATTTCCTCATGTTCGTATTTTACTTTAACGTCATAGTTAGTACCACCAGCTACGAATGTAAAACACAGTTCTTTAGGAAGTACTTCATTTTCTCCATGCTCATAGAGAAGCAAATCAATGCTTTCCACAGAATCAATTCGACCGTCAGGATGATTCACCCACCCCATTTCTAAGTGAGATGATGTCAGCGGTTGACTAACAACACCAATAGATATTTTAACCCCATTTGACAGATAGAACATATGGAAAATGTATCTGTGCATCAAGGACCAGTCCCGTTTATGTCCTGAAAATGAGAAAAACAATTGTGAAATTATAATATATAGAAAGCTAATGCATAAATGACTAATGAATATCATAATGATTGGAAAATCTTTATTTTACACGAAGTCAATTGGGCGGGAGTCATTTTTGATCTCCAAGATCTCATCACCAGAATAATGAAAGGGTTTTTCATTTATGAATCACCGACAGCTGTCTTGCTTGATTGAACAACTGATCTTCAGGTTTTTCCAAATATAGTTGATAATTTGCGAAATAGGTATCTAGATATCTAACAATGAACAAACTGCAAAACTCATGAATTTCATTCGCATATAGCTACATATGTGATTACTGATTATTAGATACCACACAAATTTTTCCTGTGTGAGTAGGTGTCACTATACTGCTGAATATCATTTTTTGAAAACTTTATTTAAGACCACCTGCCACCTTCGAGTTTTTGAAATAACAAAAACTCGCTACATAAAACCTTGTGAAAACCTTTTCTTTGAATTCAATAAAACTCACAATTTAATCCCTAGCAATCCACAAATTTCAAGATTATACAGTCTCCCGAAGATACACAAAGATGGTACTCCAATCAGACCAGTGGTAAGCTTTTACAATACTCCTGTCTCTATTCTGTCAACATTTGTCTTAAGTTCATTACAACATTTATTCCATCCATTTCACTCCTGAGTTAGTGCTTGGAAAAATGAACACATTAGACGTCAATAAAGGTGCAGGAATCGACGGCTATCCATCGTATTTTGTTAAAAACTGTGCGGTCAGTTTATGCCACCCACTCTGTAAACTTTTCAATACATCTATTCAGTCTGGTATCTTCCCAAAGATTTGGAAAACGGCTCTTCTCGTTCCGATATATAAAAACTCAGGCAGTAGAAATCTAGTCAATAACTATCGGGGTATAAGTAAATTCTCTATTTTCAGTCAAGTATTTGAAAGCATAGTTTATGATTCACTATTTTATAGTTTAAAGACCTCACTCTGTGACATTCAACATGGTTTCTTCGCTAAACGTTCCATCGAAACAAATTTAGTCATTTACACCGAATATATCTCGAGTGCACTGGACAGCCGTGAACAAGTTGATTCACTGTATACTGATTTCAGCAAGGCTTTTGACAAGGTTGATCATAACATACTCNCTCTTTCACCTTTCCTAGCAGACATTTTCATGAAAAATTTAGAAGATTCCTTCATCATTATTAAAATTGACAAGATTCTCAGTTGGCACAGATATGTTGATGAGTGCTTGGTTTTCATAGGTGGTAACTCTAATTCAGCACGTGATATCACTGACTCCTTAAATAACTCACATCCAGAAATTAAATTCACACTCGAAATAGAAAAAGACAATAAATTAAACTTTTTAGATCTTACTATAACAAAAATTAACAACAAACTAGATTTTTTCATTTACAGAAAGCCAACCCAGACTGATCATGTCATTCCTTTCAATTCATTTCATCCTATGCCACATAAAATGGCTTCCTTCAATTTTTATGTTAACAGATTGTTGAACATTCCCATCAAAACAGATTCCTGTCAACAATGGTTATCAACCATCCATTATTTCCAAATTAATCAGTAAATTTGAAGTCAGAGCACCCATCTTCTGTGAAATATTTTTCCTTACCTTATTTTGATCAAAATATGTGTACTGTTATTTCCAAATTTATAGAAAATACCATACCTGGCACAAAAATTTCCTTTAAATCTCAAAACAACTTAAGTAACTTTTTAGTAAATTCCAAAGACAAAATCAACAAATTACACAGACGTGGAGTCTACAAGCTTGACTGTTCTGATTGTTCGGCATCTTACATTGGTAGAACCTGTAAACCTATTTTTACTCGTATTAATAAACATTTAAAAATACCTGACAAATCTGCTTTTGGCCACCACATAAAATTTCAAAATCACAACTTTAGTCCCAATAGAAATTCCAAAATATTACATAAAATAGATAATAAAAATTACCTTAGACTTGACTTGTTTGAAGAGTTGGAGATTTCTGAGGAACTTTCCAATAGTGATCATTGTTTGAATACACAAGTGAACTTAAACAGAGATTTCCTTCCCCTTCATAAAAGGATTGTGAATTATTAATTAATCACATTTTACTAATACAATTTATTCAATATTGGCTTTTCCTCTACATAATTGATCAAATCCATAATGGATCACTGCTCAAGTTGGTACCATTATTTCAACATGACACTTGACACACTCTTTCTCAAGTTGTCCTTCTTCATATAATACTTTGACTGAACCACATGGCCTCAATCCAAAAATGTATTTTCTTGGCTATAAGCCTATTTTGTTTTATATAAGTCAAATATTACAAATGTGCAATGTACTTAGTTTGATACTTCCTGTTGCTTGACAAGTAAGTAATCTTAAATAATTTTTCCAAATTTCTTAACCTTAAAGATTCAAAAATTTTACAACTTCAATTTTCACTAAACTTCCTTTTCAATTAGATCACTTACTTTCAGGTGAGCACTGATGATGACGAAAGTCGAAAGCGCTTTGCAAGAATTTTAAAAATTATACACTTCTATATAAAAAACCTCTTCGATTCATTATTTCAATTAAGTGTATTCAGCTTTTCCAAATCTATTTTATAGAAATGTTTTTTTGAACAGTCTCACCAAAACAAAATGATACTTTAAATATAGCAGTTGACATACATCGATGTTAACAATATGTTAACATATTCTTGGGAACACAATCCCATCCACTTCTCAAATTTCTCGAGTACATTTTCGAAATCAAGAATTTTACTTGACGACAGTTGACTGACCAAAACGCCAGCCGACTCAACACATGACCTCACTGCGAAAAACTGCAGTCTGGAACCGCCGGTAAAATTCTAGTCGAGTACTGAATCGTATACAGAATTCTCGAAAGGACCTTTACCGAAATAAGGCCGTCTTTTCAACCTTAGATGTTGGATTCAGAAAGTGAATCAAACGGCCAAACAAGAAATTCATATAGTGGAAATAAATTAAGCGTTAGTTGCTAAGTGTTGTAATAAATAAATTATATTGTGATTATTGAAATATTGTTGGAAATAAATTTGTTCAAGACAGTCAATTCATTAATTCACTACAGTATTATCTCTCATATTTTTTGTGAGTCAACAAACTCAGATCTGAAATGAATTAGGATAAATATTGTTCGAAATTTATTGACTCAATAATTCTTACCATATTTTGATATACAACTTTCTACAATCTGAATAATAAACAAAGGTAAATCAATAAGGGATCTGCTATGTAAAGAATGGCCAACTTTCCGGGTTGAACTTTTCAGTTTGCCTTTCATTACACTTCAGCAAATTCTCTATTGATTCAGTTTTGTTTATTTTTTCAGATTATGGAAAATCAATTACCAAAAAAATATTGATGAAAAAAAGACAATGTTTGAATATAGTGATAATTCAAAAATCGTAAAATGTTTTATCGTAGAACCATCTATTCGACACAATACACTCTGAAAACTTCACTGATTGTCGTTAAACTCGTGATCATCCACAATGTGATTCATAATTTTTCAATCATTTGTGATCGCTGATCTGATTTCACTGGATAAATAGCCGAAAGGAGTGTGCTTCTTCAAGCGAAAAGCTGACGCTAAATAAACCAACCGTTAACTTGATAACATTCGAAACCTGCAGTGTCGTGAATACTCAACGGAGTTGAATATAACTGAACTTTGAAGTATATTATTCTCGACAGTTAACCAATTTTCGCTTGTAGTTGTCATTTCTACTACAAATAAATAGCTCACAAATCCTTTGTCCAATTTAATTCTTCTTTTTTGAATTCAATCATAGGTACACAAAATTATTAAGGGTTATAATCCGAATGTATGAAGTGCAACCACTAATCCATAATTTTCGAAAATTTACCGAGCAAATAACTTGAGTTCCTGATGATCTTATGAAATCACGAGACAGTAGGTCATGGGATTTCCAAAATATCACACACGGAAGGATTTGCTTGAATTTTTTTTCATTCAAATTTCTGGGACTACACGCATTTTTATCGACTTGTTACACGAGAAAAATAATTTGAGATAATTTCCACCAAGAACTATTCAGTTTTAGAATTCAAATTTAAGTATTTATATGAAATATTAGCAGCGATTTCAAAAGCTGTGTGTTATATTGAAGTAAACTCAGACAATGCATCCTAGCTTTCAACTGTTTCATTGTTTTCACGTTCTGGGATAAATAGTAAATTTTCTCTTGTTATATTGAAGTGAACAGCAACTAACGTATAACAAACTTCAATTTGATACTTGTACTCTGTTGGCGGTTAGCTCGGTTTTTCCTTATGATGAAAAGTAATATTTAATGAAGGAACTTTATTATGTGAACTGAGAATAAATGAAAACTTGTCATGTTTTGATCCAAATTATTAACTTCAACGCATGTGTTTCTCTAATGGGTACGGTGTAAAAAACTGAATACTCCAGGCTCAGGATAACAAGGGAGTTGTAAAATGATACGTTCCTCCTTTATAAATGAAACCAAGAAAAACACGACATAAGATCCATACACAAATTCAAATTAGTTTCCAAAGAAAATAAGTGATATTCGTGTTTTCATAATCATAGTCAAATGACTTGTTTATTTTCTCATGCGATACTCGTAAAATTTGATTTTTATTCTGGTAATTTTTATGAATCCTGTAGGAGTTATTTGAATGAATGCATTATTGTCAATGTAACTCTAAAATTAATACTTGTGAATTCAATGTGACATAATTCCATATTGCCATAACAAATATTTGTCGATTATTAGGATTTATTCTACTGTGTCGCGCTTTCGAGATCTGTTCTTCTTTTTTTTTTTCAGGACAAAACACGAGCAATACAGGAAAATCTTTAAGGCGCTCTCAGAGTGGTGCCTGTGCAAAAGTAGCGATACACAATTAAATCCATCTGGAAAAACGTCCTCAGGAAGTTTATTCCACATAAACACAGTTC